AAAACGATAAAACGAAAGCGTCGAAATATAGCGATTGAAAAATCGTGCGAGAAATGAAATCATACGCAGCGACGAAACGAATAGAAGGGAGATACGTAAATGAACGTATAAAAAAAATAAATGGAAGAAGAAGAAAAAGAGAAAGAGAATAAGAATGATAAAAAGAGAAATAGAAACAGATAGAGTTAGAGATATATATAGATATATATAATGTGTGTGTGTGTGTGTGTTCGTGTGTGAGCGTGCGTGTGTGTGAGAAAGAGTACTTGTTTGTATATATTTGCGTGAGAGAGAGAAAGAGTAGAAAGAAAAAGTAATGGAAAATATGTACATGCCACCAATCGCACACGAACAAAACGACGTACAAACAATATTACGAGGTACGCGGTACCTCATGCTCTACGTCCCTACGGCACGATAATCCTCCATTTGAATACCAATAATGTATGTTTTTATTCTGCATTCGATTTGAGAACGCGAATGTACGAATACGCGCGTATAAATACGTCATCGAGATGCAAGCGCGTGGTTACGTTGGTCGATAATGCTACACAGCAATATTGGAGAGTCCATGACGAACGAAACCAAGTAGTTTCGTATACGTACATACGTATATGTAACTATATACACATGTGCGATCTATGAACGTTTTGGTGCTGGGTGCGGATGAAAACTGTGCCAGCAAAATCGTGCAATCGTGTTTTTTCGATAAACGTGCAAGGATATGGACAAAACGTATTACGCGAATTTACAGATATCCACATCGATAAACCCTTTCGTTAATTCGTTGCGAACAACGTTTCATCTTCTTCTTTTCCTCCTTTCTTCTTCCCCTCCTCTTTTCTTTCTTTTCTGCTTATCAATTATTAATTATTTCGATACATTTTTTTTTTTTTTCTTTTCCAATTCGTCGAAATACGACAGCGACGATCTTTTTTCACGCGGATAATAATTCGTATACGATATGCATGGTCATGGACAATCCAGTATCCGTATATTGGAAACTTTATTAATATCGGCATTACAGAAAAACATAAATAAGAATAAAAAAAAAAAGAAAAAAAAAAAAAAAAAAAAAAA